GTGATCTGGAGGGAGTGTGGTCAGCATGTGCCAAGTCTTTTCAGGTGTGGACCCTCCTGTTGCGCACCTTTGTATTTCAGGGATGATGTTGCTCGTCATCAAGCAGAGGGGTGCTCACATTTGAACGCCCAGCAGGAGCCCCCAGAGACATTTGGTAGAGCTTTAGCATGTGCACAAAGAAGATGAGATGATCCTAAACATGAGATTCTAAATCCACATCCAAGGTATTTTCACCAGCTCTAACAACTCAGCCCATGAGGAACCTTGATGTTTTGGGGGGCCACAGCAGGCTGGTGTACAGCAGGATGCTTTTGGAACCACAAGGACGCATTCCAGCGCTTTTCAAAGCATGGGAAAACTCATTTCCATATTCCAACCTTCCCACCTAGACCACCACTTATCAATGCTGCCATCGAATGGTTCAGCAGGTGCACGTGCTGAATGAATTTCTCTGCAAAGATTGGGTTTAACAGAAGGGATCTCTCCAGCTGGGAGAGCATGTGTGAGGGAAGGGAGGCCTGGGAGACTTGGGGTGAGCAGGCGGCAGTGAGGAGAAATATTTCAACAGTTATGAGCTTGAGAGTGGAAAGTTTGAAGTGAGATGTGTTAATCAGTGTGGAGGATTTGGGGTCCTGACTTGAGCTCAGGCTGGTGGTGTTTCCACTGTTGATGTTATCACAGAACCTTTTTTCTTCTGGGTTATCTCCAGCTCACACAGCTTTGGGGTGGTGATCCGAGGGGCTGCTCAGCCCATGCTTATGGTTGAGGTTGTTAAGGAGTGTGCAGACACACAAAATCAAACCCTAGGCATTGAGAAATCTTCTGGACTTCCTTTCTCCAGCGTGGGAGCTCTGTGTGTCTCTGGTGATGGAGAAGAAAGGCTTTTTGCAGAGATCCTGCCAGCCTCAAGGAATGCAGGAGCAGGAAAGAGTCTGGGTGAGATGGGAGGTTCACCCCAAATCTGCAGGCGGTTTGTGGTGTGGGGCACCAGCACTTTCACAGCATTTTGGTATCACGAATCAGGGTTTGTCACGAGGAGATGCTGCAAGTTCTTGCGGAGGCTGAGTACATGTGGCTGCTGTCCCTGGCTGCTCCCAGTCATGGCTGTGGGGCTGAGCTGAAATCGATCAGAGCCTGTGGATGTGCCGTGACAAACTCCCTGTGCCCAGAGGTGATGCTTCCATAAATCCTGTAAGCATGTGCTTAACTTTGGGGAGCAAGGTGATTGCAAGGCAATATTTTATTCTTGTCAGCTTCAGTGTTAACAGTTACCAGAATCACTTGGGTAATTAAGCTCTTGCAAGAATAAAGTGAAAAAGCACCAGGTGTCTATGGAGATCTAAATCATTTTTCAGAGTGGGCAGAAGAGCAGTTTTTGGCTTTCCTCAGTAGCTGGAGTTCTAAAATCCACAGAGACAGCACAGATCCCCTCCAAATGAGCTACAGGCAGCAGCCCTGCTTTTCTTAGGTACCTTTTGCCAACCACCTACAAGAAGCTGGTGGGTGACCAGGGCTTCATATGTGACCACTGGTTGGAAACTTCAAAGTAAAGGAAGGCCTTTTGCAAAAGGCATGGCTAAAATTTCATTCCAAAGAGTATTTTTGAGATGTATTAGTGTAACTGTTGCTGGAGTAACTCGCTGCAAAGTGCTGATCCCTGTCTTGCAGTTGGGAAAGATAAGGCTGGAACTGTAGAAGGTGAACTGGTTTCCTTTATCTGTGGGATGTCATTGGGAAGATCCCATCACTGTTTATAAATATTTATTATTCGGATCACCGAATCATCATAGAATCATAGCACGGTTTGAGTAGGAAGGTAGGTCCCTACCTCTAAAGATCATCTTGTTCCACTCCCTGCCGTGGACAGAGACACCTTCCACTAGACCAGGTTGTTCCAAGCCCTGTCCAGCCTGGCCTTGGACACTTCCAGGGATCCAGGGGCAGCCACAGCTGCCCTGGGCACCTGTGCCAGGGCCTCACCACCTCACAGGGAGGAATTTCTTCCCAATATCCCGTCTATCCCTGCCCTCTGTCAGTGAGAAGCCATTCTCCATGTCCTGTCACTCCATCCTTTCTCCCTGGTCCCTCTCCAGCTCTTCTATAGTCCCTTTAGCCACTGGCAGGTGCTCTGTGGGCTCCCTGAAGCAATCTACTGCCCAGGTGAGCACCCCTAGCTCTCCCAGCCTGGCTCCAGAACCTCCTCTCTCTGGGCTCCGTGCGAGGCTCCAGGCTGAACTCTGCAGCCTTGGCCAGGGCCAGGACAGGGCTGTGGGGAGGTTCTCAGAGCACCCGGAGATGGCCAGTCCCTGCTCCCAGGAACAGCTGTTTCCCAGACACAATCCCAGGTCTGTCCCTGAGCGGAAGGTCACCTTGGCCAAAGGTTTTTGTGTCAAAAGCTGCCAAAATCCAATAAAGCCAAACCCCATTGCTTGGTCAGTGCCTTTCTTGGGGTCCTGTGGGCAGATGAGCAGCCCCAAAATGGCCTGTGTCTTGTCATTATTGCCCAGCAGCTGGGCATGTCACCAGCTGGGCAGGACTAGCTCAGAGTCCCAGGGGGTGACACACAGGGCCCTTGGGGATGAAGCACGGGGTAAGGACCTGGAGGAATCATGTGAGCCCACACATGATGTGTGAGGTGGGACCAGCCTGGCAGATGTCCAGATGGTGCATCTGGAGCTGAACCAAGTCAGGGCTACTTACATTTATGTAGGGCAGGATGATTAAAGCTCCGGCCTTTGCAATTCCACCTAAGTTGGGTAATTACAGAACTGGCTTTATTGACTAGGTAGCATGGCATGAAGCAATGTGCATACCCAGTCCACACCTGCTGTGTGCTCCTGACCCAGGCAGAGCAGAGCTCGGGGAACTGCCTGTGTGTTGGAAGATGCAGCTGGGTGCCCAGCGAGGGTTCTAGAGGTATCTACCAGGCCACTGGACACTTAATCTCCCCGGATCCCTGAGGGCACCTGCATGTGTAAAACCCTGTCACTGCGGCCGTGTTCAATGAGGAAATAAATGCCCCCGTGGATGTGGCTTCTAATTTTCTTCCTGTTTCACAAGGGATTTGTATAGAAGCAGGAAGCAGGATCCTGCTGCGCCTGATGACTCCTGTCCCAAAGAGCTGATGAAATTTGTCATACCTACACCACATACTGTCCTGATGAGTCTCACCTTCATCCGGGCAGAGTGGGTGAAAAATGTCACCACATCCGAATGGCCCCACTTCACCCTGGGAAGAAATTATTCCCCAGGGCATGAGGAAGTGGAAGGTGAGGACCAGTGGGAGAAGAACGTGGCCTTGGAGTTCTCCCAGGGCTATGGCAGGCTCTCACATCCATGGTGAACGGAAGTAGAGGGGGGAGCAGCTGGTTCTCCTCTGGGCCAGACTGCAGCCTTGTTTCCAAGCCAACCGGAGTTCCGTGAGCTCCCCAAATGGCTGCAGACAATGAGCCCAGTGAGTCTCCTGAGGACAGCTGATGCTGGAGGCAGGGAAAGCTGAGACAAAGGGTGCTCAGCCCCTGCAGCACCTCAGTGTCCATCCTGCCCTTTGCTGGCACTCAGTGTTCAGGTGAGAGGCTCTGGCAGGGATGAGACCACATGGGAATGGCATTCCTGAACTGCCCAGGGCACTTGTCAACTCCAGGAGGTAAGAAAGTCTATTCCTGTTCTGGGGATGAAACCACTCATGTGCTCTTCTCCCTGCAAAATGCCAAATTAACAAAAAAAAAAAGGAATCAAGCCTGGCACCGGTGAAAACCCAGATAGTACCATCTTCATGGACCATATGGCAAAACTGGAGCTTGGAGATGCCACCTGGCACAGTCAGGGTCCCCCCAGAGATGGTGGGCTCATGTTTATCCCATGGAATGATTATGAATTTCTGCCTGGAGGGTCTCAGTGCAATTTTATTCTGATTTTGAGGCAGTGCAACCTCTTTTCCTGTATCTTCCCTAATGTTCTCCTCACATTTACATCACAGTGTCCTCGCAAGTCGCTTACCACAGACCCCACACCACTCAATTTAATGGTGGCACTGGGAATCTTCTCCACACTTGGCCCACAGCACACTTCAGAAGGGCTCCATGCCCCAGCTCCACCTCATGTCCCATCACTGGGTGGGCAGAAGAAGCTGGTAATCCCCCAAATCTTCTGCTTCCCCCGCCCCCCCAGCTTCATCAAGATCTGTAGGGATAAGACAGAGTAATGCGTACAAACTGAAAAAGGAAAAATTTAAGTTACATATTGGGAAGAAATTCATCCCTGTGAGGGAGGTGAGGCCCTGGCACAGGTTGCCCAGAGCAGCTGTGGCTGCCCCATCCCTGAAGTGTTCAAGGCCAGGCTGGACAGGGCTTGGAGCAACCTGAGACAATGGAAGGTGTCCCTGCCCATGGCAGGGGGTGTAATGAGGTGAGCTTCAAGGTCCAGTCCAACCACTTAAACTGTGTAGCACCAGGAGCAACTGAGGGAGCTGGGGGGCTCAGCCTGGAGGCTCAGGAGGGACCTTCTGGCTCTGCACAGCTCCCTGACAGGAGGGGGCAGCTGGGAAGATCAGGCTCTGCTTCCAGGGAACAAGGGACAGGACAAGAGGAGACGTCCTCAACCAGGGGAGGCTCAGGATGGACATCAGGAGGAATTTCTTCATGGAAAGGGTTGTCAGGCACTGGATGCGTGGATGGTGTATGCTCTCCATCCGTGGAGGTGTCCAAGGAAGGACTGGACGTGGCACCCAGTGCTCTGGTCTGATGGACAGGATGGTGTTTGGTCTCAGGTTGGACTCGATGTCTCGGAGATCTTTCCCACGCCAGCGGTACGGCGGTTCCGCGGCGGTTCCCTGCCGCACCCACCCTGGCGCCGCGCCACACTCAACATGGCGGCGCCGGCATGAGGCGGGCGGGGGCTGGGTGGGGGCGTGTCGCACACCCAAGATGGCGGCGGCGGCGGGCGGGGTGAGATGCCGGCGGGCGCGCAGGCGCGGGCGGGTGGCGGTGACGCGCGGGGCGCGCGGTGACGGAGCGCGGCGGCCGCGGCCCTTTGTTGGCGGCGGTTGAGGCGCGGCGGGGCCGGGCCGGGCCGGGGCCAACGGCGGCGGCGGCGGGGCCGGGCGCGGGGAGGCCGCGGGAGCCGCCGCCGCTCCCTCAGCGCCTCGCCATGGACTCGGACGAGGGATACAACTACGAGTTCGACGAGGACGAGGAGTGCAGCGAGGACAGCGGCGCGGAGGAGGACGAGGAGGACGAGGAGGAAGACGAGCCCGACGATAATCTGGACCTGGGCGAAGTGGAGCTGGTGGAGCCCGGGCTTCGCGTCGGAGGGGAGCGCGACGGGCTGTTGGGCAGCGAGACGGGCGGGCTGGGCCCCGGCGGCGGCGGCGGCGGCAGCCTGGGCGGCGGGCCGGGCCCCGGCGGCGGCCCCGAGCAGGAGGAGGATTATCGCTACGAGGTGCTGACGGCCGAGCAGATCCTGCAGCACATGGTGGAGTGCATCCGCGAGGTCAACGAGGTCATCCAGGTGCGGCCCCCCGGCACCGGGACGGGGGGGGACACACGGGGGAAGGGGTGCGGGGGGTGGCGGGGCGGGCCAGCGGCCTCCTGAGGGGTACCGGACTCGGCCCGTCCGCGGGTCAGGGCCTCACACACACTTGTCGGTTCCCCCGGGGCTGGAGGGGGCTCAAGTCCATATTCCCCAACGCTGGAGGGGCGGGGGAGCGACTCCTCTCGGTACACCCTGGGGGTGGAGAGGGCTCCTCGTCGCCCCATTCTCCCGGGAGGCCCCTCGGGCCCGGCCAGGATCTCGCTTCCTGCTGTGGAAGCGTCGGGAACGAGGCCTTTGGCACTGAAAGGGCTCCTCTTTCTTTGTGTGGTTGCGAGCTGGGGGCCGTAATCTATTTTTTTTTCGTAATTCCCTTCCGTCCTTATGGTGTTAGGTGGGTAATAGCTCCTCCATAACCCGCGGAGTCCATGGCAAGCCCTGGAATTCCAGGAGAGGCACTGCTCTGGTTTTGTTGCCGTCTCCCTTCCCCCCCGCCACACACAGAGGTTGAACCTTGTGTTTATTTCCAGCACAGACCAGGACGGGTGCGGGCAATCCCTTCACAACCGTAACTTTTTTTACCCTCAGTTTTTACGGGTGCCTCTTTAAAAGTGAAATGGAGTTTGAAATAACATTTACCTTCTTTAGATCACAGTATCTTAAGTCTTACCTGTCGGCCCCTAAGTTTTTTGGGGAAAAAAAAATCAAGCCACTGAAGCCATTTAGCATCCGTTTCTAAATGTTTGTGGCAGGGTTTGGCTCCAGCTCACCATCAAGTTTCTGATGCAGTTCACTTTTCTTCAGGTGATGGGTTTTCTTTAGTTCCTGTTTACTTACCATTACTTACGGTCACTAGGAAGTGCTACCCTTTTCCAGTATGCCAACGGGAATAGCATGAGAAGTCTGTGGATATTAAATATTGAGGGATCCAGTGCCCATGAAGTAGTTGTTTAGCTGGTTGTGTGTGCTGGTAAATCTCTTTAAACACGAGATGCCTTAGTGAATGTTTTTTCTCCAACTGTCCTGTGCTCTGCAGTGGCTCTAACAGCAGCTTTAAAGTGTTGCTTTATGTGCTGTAAATCCCCTGTAGTTTATGTGGGGCTTGATGCAAACAGCTGTAAAAATATTTGCGTGCTAAATTAGTAAAATGGCATTCCTTGAGTCAAATTAAAGTTTATAACTTTAATGATAGCATTGCCCGTATAAAGTTGAATAAAGGAGTCTGCTCGGATTAACTGGTTACCCTGCAGTTAAAGAAGATCTCATGGTTAAGCAGGGATGTTTCTTTGCTCCCAGTTATTGATCCTGATGTAGGGAGGGAAACAGTTGGCAGGCAGACATACAAACAATTGGGAACTTAAGCTTTTTACTCTTTCAAATTGCCATTAAAATACTGAGTCTGTGTTTAATGATTAAGATTGCAAAAGTCATGGCCCACTCTGTTTCTATTGAACAGATTCTGACATATTCCTTATCTTTGCATAAGACAAGTGGTGGAAAAGTTGCTGCCAGTGAGGAGTTGTGAGTGTTCCTGCTCCTGCATTTTCCAGACCCGGCTGGTGGACTCAACTGCGTGTTCTTAGTGAGCTAATTTGTTAGAGGAGGTCCTGATTGCTGGTCTGAGTGGATTTGCCCCCCTCTTAGACTGCCCTGAAGCTGTTTGACTTGTGTGCTCTACCTGTGAGTTGCAGAACTAGTGGAGGGAAATGCGTTGAGCCCCTTGTTGTTTGTGCCCTATCCCTGCGGTGGCAGCGGGAAGCCTGACTGTGCTGGGCTCTGCAGAACCGCCCCCCACACCTTCCCATGGCTGCTCTCCTGCTCCACTTGCTGCCTGGTGTTTGCAGGTTTAGCAGAGCAGGGTGCACAAAGTCTGTCTGTTCAGAATGTCATGGGTAAACTCGGGACCTAAAACCAACTTAGGCCCTGGAATGCAGCAGAAGAGGGTAGGAAAACACTCAGTTACTGTGGATGGCTGTTAAATGCCAACTTCCTGCCATCAGATTTCTGGGCTGTTCTGAGGTAAGTAGCCCGACGACTTCGGCTAATGCTTCAGGATTTGCTCATCCTCACTCCTGTGGCTGCTGGTGAAATCTTCCAGCTCTCTGTTCTGTTTATTTCCTTGTGTTTGGCGCCCAACCAGGATTGCTGCTGCTGCTTTTCTGGTTCAGTAAACCTTTTCTGGAGTCACATTGGCTCAGGATCCTGCTGCGGATCCTCAGTTGCTGAGCTGTGATTCACTTGTTCCAGTCAAGTACTGGATGGCTTTGGTCCCTGTGTGCCTGCTGTGGGTTCTTGGTAGCAAATGGTGATGGTTGTGGTTTCATTTTTAGTGCTTTGAACTTGCTTGTTCAAGGCAGATGTAATATACAGTCTGAAAACTTCAGCTGTAGCTCTTGTGGTCTTTAATGAATGATTTTTTTTTTTATGAGAAAGTGTAAGGTGTAGATGGGGTTTTGTTTTGCAGCTGCAGTGAAAGGAGAGTGGAACAGGGAGCCACAGAGTCTTTGCAAGGAGGTATCTGAGCCATGGCAGGTGTAACTCTATATTAAAACACTCCATTTGAGCAGTTATTAGCTGACAGGGCTGTAGTTGAAAGGACTAAATTAAATTTTTTCTCCCATCCATTTGGCCATTTCCAAATACAACCTGTGTGAGTAAAAACATGAACTTTTCAGGGCATTGATTTGATCTGATGGAGACTTTGCAGAAGTAGGAGTTAGCTCGTGGCTAAGTTGCTGCTCACAGAGCACGTCATTCCGTAGTGTGGAATGGGCTTTTGGAGACATCTGCTCAGTGCCAAACTCTGCTATCACTTGGCCTCCCTAAGACCACTGAACCTGCAGTGAACTAGGCAGGTTTCAGAATGTCTCAAATATTCAGAATATTTTACACTTGCTCTTTCTTGTCTGAGCATAAATAGGATTTCAGGTGTTTGATGGTGTTTTTTGTACAGTATTTGGTGCTTATGCTCATCATCTGACTTGCCTCCATGTGTCGCACTACAAGAATTCCCCTTGCTCTCCAAATGCAAAAATAGGGGTATGAATAACCCCTTAACCTTGCACTGTTGGTTGGCTGAGACTTTTAAACCTCAGAGTATTCCTCCCATCCTCTCCCTGTGATTAGGTGGAGCAGAGAGCTGTTTGCCATGGTATTTGGAATTTTAGTTGTCTAAGTAAACAGGCAGATTTCTGGTGGTTTTCCAGCTGCTGGCAGAATGAAGTTAGCAAGGGACTGTAAAAACCTAGACATAGAGGTGCTGTGGAACAAAAGGCTTCCTCCTCCCAAAGGCATTTTCCCACAGTTGAATGTCTTCCCCATATTCTCCCTCTCTGAACTTTTGTCCAAATAATCCACTGTCACTTCTTTTTTTATATCAGATTGCTATTTCCATTTTTGCTCTAGATTTTTTCTGAAAATAAACTTGAAAAATGTTTAGAATGGCATATTTATTTCTGCTCTGAGTAAAGCACATGATGTGTCTCTGTAGCCTGGCTTGGCCTGGTGTTCTCCTTGCTTTGTTGCAACCTTGTGCAATTCCAGTATTTCCAGGTGGGATTAATTTTCCCTTTTTGCCTGCCTTTTTCTGGAGCATTCCAATGACATTGTTGTGATGTCACTGACCATATTCATTCTTCCCGGACTTTGTAATGGTAAGGTATTGAAAATACTGTGATGATGCTCTGAGGTGGCAGAAAAATGAGTTGAGTCTCTTGTTTTCTTTCCCCACCCCACAGTGGGGATCAGGATCCTGGATGTGGCGGGGTGTTGTGCCTGGCCTGCTGTGTGATTGTGAGCATGTTGAGCTTCCTTTCTCTGGAAGGATGTGGCATTCCTGGATCCAGTGAAATTCAGTCTAGCTCAAAAATACCTTTTCTTTTGATTAAAGGCTTTAAATTACATTTTTTAGAGCAGACCAGGTCAGGTGTAACATCAGAGCATTCGCAGCAAGTACAGGTTTCTCATTTACATGGTGGAGCTGGATGACTTCTTTGGAGGCAAGGTTAGGTCCTTGCTCTGGTAGGAGCTTTGCCGTTAAAATAAGGCAAATCCCCAGACCAGTCTGAAGTTAAAAACCCATATTTGTTGAGGAATGGCTTTTTGCAGAGGCCCCTGGAGTTCCACAGCCCTGGTTAAATGGAGCTCTGTTACAAGTGCAAACCCATTGTTACAAGAGGGGTCTTGTTGAACAGTGGCTTCACTTGCTTGGACAAAACATCCTGATTGCCAGGCAGAACTTAGGAAATCTTACCAATACTGGTGTAATTTAGCATACTGTGGGCAGTACATTCCAAAGGTATTGTCCACAACAGGGATGAATTGCCAGTGGGCAACAGGAATTGCTGCTTGTTGCACAGGGTAGTGCTTAAAACTGTATTTAATGCTAGAGATGACATCTTGGAAATTCGGAGTGCTTGGAGCTGACAAGCATTAGGTGGGAGTCTGTGGGTGGAAGCACTCGAGGCTGGTGCTGCTTCCATCCGGGTCCTCTCGCAGAGTGAGGTGTATTAGCAAACCTTGTGTGTAAAATTCATGTCAGGGGCCTAAATGTTAAGATGCTGGAAGGAAATGCTTTGTTAAACCCCATGTTTCTGTCATGCGGTGTTTATAAGGTGTTTCATTATAGTAGGAATGCAATTAATATTTCCAAGGAATGGAATAAACTTCATTGTGACAAAGCATTCCTGGAATCTTGTATAAGCAATCACTCCAAAACTTTTGGAAATGACATGGTGTCTGTTCCTGACTGCCGAGACATGTAATTCTGAGTATAATATAATTTTTTTTACTATTACTTTAAATTTCAGCATTGCCAGGTAGAAGTCTTGTTAAGTCTCCAGAGGAATTTCAACTTTGTACTTAAATATGACCCACTTGCTTTGTGCTTTATGTTTCTGTTAGGTCAGATGCAAATCTCATGGTTGGCCATGTGTGGAAACATTTGATGCTGGTTGCTTTTGTCTCAGTGTAGTTTTCCT